TAGTAATGTTGCAGGTTATAAAATCAATAGCCAAAAGTCCATGGCTTTCTTATACGCAAATAATGAGAGAGAAGAAAGTAACATGAAAAAACAATCCCATTCACAATTGTGTCCCAGGAAATCAAGTACCTAGGAATCAGCTTAACTAAGGATGTAAAAGACCTGTACAAAGAAAACTACAAAATGCTACCAAGAAACAAAAGAGGACACGAGAAAATGGAAAGATACCTCCTGCTCATGGATCGGGAGAACTAACATTGTTAAAATGGCAATACTTCCCAAAGCATTGTAAAAATTCAATGCAATCTCTATAAGGATACACATGAAATTCTTCAAAGAAATGGAGCAAGCACTCCTGAAATTCATATGGAACATTAAGCCCCCACGAATAGCTAAAGCAATTCTTGGGAAAAGGAAAATGGGAGGAATCAACCTCTCTAACTTCAAACTCTACAACAAAGCAGTAATAATTAAAACAGGACGGTACTGGAACAAAGGCAGAGCTGCAGACCAATGGAACAGGTTTGAATATACTGACCTCTCCCCCCAAAAATATGATCATCTAATCTTTGATAAAGGAGCAAGAAATGTGAAGTGGTGCAAGGAAAGCCTCTTTCACAAATTGTGCTGGCAAAACTGGACAGCTACGTGCAAAAAAAAAATGGGCTCAGATCTCTGCCTAACACCATGTACAAAAGTAAGATCAAAATGGATTAAAGACCTCAACATCAGCCCGGAATCCATAAGGTACATTTAAGACAAGGTTGGCAAAACCCTACATGACATTGAAGCTAATGGTATCTTCAAAGATGATACACTACTGGACAAGCAAGTGAAATAAGAGATAGACAAATGGGACTATCTTATACTAAGAAGCTTCTGCACCTCAAAAGAAACAGTGACTAAAATACAAAGACAGTCTACAGAATGGGAAAGAATGTTTGCCCGATACCCATCTGGCAAGGAGTTGATATCAAGGATATACAAAGTACTGGTTGAACTCCAGAAGAAAACATCCAACCCCATCAAAAAATGGGGCGACGAAATGAACAGAAACTTTCTCAAAGGAGAAATCCAAATGGCAAAAAGGCACATGAGAAAATGCTCTACATCATTAATCATCAGGGAGATGCAGATCAAAACAACAATGAGATAGCATCTCACACCAAAGAGACTGGCCCACTTCCAAAAGAACAAAAGCAAATGGTGTTGGCATAGATGTGGCGAGAAAGGGACCCTCCTTCACTGCTGGTGGGAATGCCCTTTTGGTTCAGCCCTTTTGGAAATCAGTATGAACGATTCTCAAAAACTTAGAAATTGAGTTCCCATTTGATACAGCAATATATCCCGGAGAGGCAAAAAAGTATAGTCAAAATGACATCTGCACTTCTATGTTCATTGCTCCACTGTTTAGAATAGCCAAAATCTGGAAAAAACCTGAGTGCTCAAAAACAGATGAAACTTCAGTATATCTACACGATGGAGTACTATGTTGCTGTTAGAAAAGATGAAGTCATGAAATTTATATACAAATGGTACTACATGGAAAGTATCCTGCTAAGTGAAATGAATCAGAAACAGAGGAACAGACATAGAAAAATTGCATTCATCTGGGCAATATAAAGTAACAAAATAGGAGACTAACATCGAAGAATAGTCAAGATAAGTATCAGGAGGTTCATTCCATGGCTTGAAAGCCAGCTGCACGTCCTAGGGGAACTAGCAGTTCAGATAAAGAAGGGAACATCAAATAAAGGGTGTTGGGAGGATCATCCTCGGATGGGAGATGCATGCTGAAAGTAGACTATAGACCGAATATGATTGCCCTCAATGCCTCTTTTGCAAACTTCAGCAACCAACAGGCTAGAAGACAAAAGTGAATGTCCTGCCACAGAGGCAGGGTGGGATGGGGGGATAGGGAGTGGGAGGGAAACTGACATCATTGGTGGTGGAGAATGGGCACTGGTGGAGGGATGGATACTCAATCATTGTATATTTGAATCCCTAGCACAAAAATTTGTAAGTCTAGAACTATACCTCATGGTGTTTCACTAATAATTTTTTTTAAAAAGAGTGAGAATAAAACAATATTTTATGCATTTATAATATGACAGCCAAGACGCAGAGACTATAAAACCCAGCTCCTGGAGGAGAACAGCATAGAGTGTCCTGCCCTCATGCCTGGCTGTCCTCACCGGGGCCCCTTGGAGGGGGGAGGGTTGAGTTTCTCTCCTCCCCCACCCCCGAGCAGAACCCCAGCAGCTGAGGATCTCCAGAGACAGCCACGGCCATGCTGGGACCACTCTCCACACATCCAACGGGCCTCATGCATGAAAGAACTGGCAGAGGAACCGAGGCATGTGGGTCCCAGGGCTGAGGTCTCCAAGCCTACTCAGATTGGGACTGAGCCTTCTCCACCCAGACCCCCCCATCTTCTAGTAGGTAGGCATCGCACCCACCAGCTGCCACCAGCGCCAGGTTGGTCCCATCAACGGCCAAGATGCAGAGACTGTAGAACCCAGCTCCCGGAAGTGCATGGCAGCATTCACAGCCTCGCGACATATTATCTTATTTTTTCTTTGGAGAACCTGGCAGGCTACCAAAAGTATCCTGCCCGCATGGCAGAGTCTGGTAAATTTCCTGTGTCGTACTCAGTATGGCAAATACCAGTAACAATGATGAGTTTCATTCTCCTAATCCGGAAGGAGCATTGAAATGGCTCTTTTAAAATCTCAGGGCTAGGAAGAAGGAGACATTACTGGTGCCTGCTCGAGGCAATTGATGAACAACAAGATGATCATGATCATGATAACATGACTGAAAAAAGAAAGAAAAAACAAAGGAAACAGAATTTGTACTTTCTATCTGAAATTCTATTGAATCGGTAATCACATGCCTGGGTTCACATGTCTTACCCTATTATTATATGTGAATATGCATAAATCTTTACATCTAGTCTTTGATGTGGTGGCACATAAGATCCATGGCCTGAGATGCTTCTCATATTACAATGAACTGTGTGCAAAATGGTTTGAAAAATTATAAAATATGTAACAGATATAATAATTGTCATGCATCACCACTACTCTGCACTACTCTTGCTAGTAGTTTATTGTTGAGTCTATCTAAGGATTAATTTTGACAAGAATCTCTTTTCTCCACTCACATTAAAAATATACATATATATTGAGCACCATGGAGTACAGAGGTACAATCCATCCATGATTGAGTTTCAGGCATAAAATGTTTCAACACTAATCCCCCCACCAGAGTCTACTTCCCTCCTCTAAGGTCCCCAGTTTCCCTCTACCACCTGGCCTGACTCTATGGCAGGCACTATTTTCTTTTTTGTGAGTGTGCAGAGTGACAGCACAGTGGTAGGGTGTTTGCCTTGTGCACAGCCAGCCCGGCTGAGTCAGGTTCAATTCCTTCACCCTCTCGGAGAGCCCAACAAGCTACCAAGAGTATCTCACCTGCATGGCAAAGCCTGGCAAGCTACCCGTGACATATTTGATATGCCAAACACAGTAATAACAAGTCTCAAAATGGAGACGTTACTGGGCCCTCTCGAGCAAATCGATGAACAGCAGGAGGACAGTGTTTGCTTTGTTGTTTGTTTTCTTTCCTCCTCCCCTCCCCACTCCCTTTGGCACTGTATTGTTTACTATACTGTTACTGATAGGGTATTATGCAAATTAACTTTACCTTCTTTCAGCACCTAGTCATGATCCAGAGGAAGCACTTCCCTCTCTCACTGGCAAAGCCACTCACATTTTTCCATGAAGTACACAGTACCAATTTTGCCTAGGGGCCAGGCAGCCACACAACCATCTAGACTGGCTGCCTGGGCCTACAGGGCAATATCTGGGCATGCTCAGGATTATGCGATTCCAGGGAGAACTCTCTGGGCCAGGGCTGGATCATGGTAGATGTGCGCTTTACTGTTGGAACTATCCTCTCAATACTTTCACTCACACCAATCTTGTGTAAATGGTCATATAAGATTCTGTTCTTTCTATCTCTGTGCCTTTGCTTAATTTGTACTATCCACTAGAATAATCCTGTCCATAATTTTGTAAATTCAACCTAAATTCTGCTTATATCTCAAAGCCCTACTCAATCTATGTGTTTCAAGCAACTCAGGTTAATGAATCTGATATTGCATATAAGCTATCTCCTCAAACTTGTCTAATAAGCACTCTTTCCCACACTATCTGGAACTCACTCATTCACTGTGCAACAGAAGAAAGCCAGGCAACATCTCCAGGATTTAGGTATCCATTGAGGATTGTGACAGCCATACCATCCACGTACAGCTCCCTGAATTCCCATGGGAAAAATCAGGAGTGAGTGAATTTGAAGCAATTTTGTTGGAAATCAGCAGTAATGCTGTACACATTTGAGACAAGCTCGTTTTCAAGTCTTGCATTCAGCCTTTAATGAACTGTAGTAGCTTAGTCACATTCTTTTTTATTTGCCAAGGAAGTTCTGTTCTGCTTTGATTTGGCTAAGAACGAGTTAAGCAGTCGCCGTAGCCATGCCACTAGATCCCGTTTAACTCAGGGAACCTTGGAGGGGGTGTGGATGAGAGCCCTCCCTGCCCCAAGGAACACAGCTGCCGCCATGCACAAGGCTGCTCTCCACACGTGTACTGAGCCTCACCCATGAGTGAATCTCTTTTGGACACTTCATAAGACACACTCTACCCATACTCCAAGAGTACCTCACAAAACTTAATGGAATTCAGAGTAGGAGACAACCAACCTTAGAGGGAAATATATTATTTCGGTTCTGCCTTGTAGTAGGGACTGGGGTTTGGAATGGAAACACCCAAAATATGGTGATGGAATGTTGGTGGGATTGGTGTTCAAATATTAAATATAATCAAACATTGTGAACTACTTTATAAAATAAATTTTTTTTAAAAATTTGAAAAAAAAAGAACTAGTAAAGACCCCTTCTCTCTTTCCCCTTCATCCAAGGATAAAACAGATACTTACCCTCTCTTAGGTCTCTTTCTATCTTTGGTGATGATTTTTTTGCTGTTGACAATCCATGAACTCCTGAGCCCTCCGTGTTCACTCCTGAAATGACCCTGCCCATTCAAAAGAGTTGTGATAGCAATTTCCCATCAAACACAGATGTTCAAAGGCAAAAGATATTTTACGTTATGCAGATGGCCTATGCTTTGCCATCTTGTCCATTTTTTGTTGCACACACAGTCCACCTATCTTTCAAGATCAAAATAAAAGCACTATCTTCATAAAGTTATTTTCTATTTCCTCAAGAAGTGTGCTCTAATTCACTTCTCTAAATGTTCTGAACAATTTTTATCACAATAATAGTAGCCGTAACTCAGCAGTCTTGAGATTAGAGTTGTCATCAAGCAGAAAAATGAACATATCTATCTTTTTAATGCTCAGAGCATTGTATTTGGCATTGAACAGAGCATCACTATATAATCATCGTATTGAAAGAGTGCTCTAGTATAGCAATTCTTGACATTCTGGAAAGGAAAATACACATTTCTGCCAAAATTTGAAAGAACACACAAATGTATTTTTCTACATATAAATATTGAGCAAATTTCTAATTCTAATTCAAGTTAAATTGAACTGAATTACACATTTAAATTATATCTTGAATATCTTAGTCTATTTATAGAGATACATTCCTTACTAAAGCTATGCACTCAAGTATTTATTTGCATTAAAAATAAACAGTAGGACTATGGACGTGGCTCAATGGTAGAGCACATATCTTGCATGCATGAAGCCCTCAGTGAGATCTCTGACACATCACAGTCTTCTTCCTCTTCATCATCATCGCCATCATTATCATCATCATCATCATCACCATTACCATCATCATCAATCATCCATTTTCTTTTAAAAACACTTTCTTTAATAAAGTACTTACCGGTTTTCATCCTGGCGTCCTCCATATCTGATCCAATAATTCTGTTTTAAATTTTAAAAAATAACAGTAGTTTTGTCACTAAATAAGACATCATTATTAAAAATAAGCTGAAATATATACTTTAAATCATCAGAAGGTCTATTATGGATTCAATATATTTTTGCATTTGTTTTTATGGGGCTACGGAATAAACTTTGGCATCAAAATTACAAGTCAACTACTCTAACACTGAGCTATATTTCCAGCCCTTTATTATGTGCTTACTTTTAATTTTAATAAAATAGGATGTCTATGTTTCATGCAATCGTAACAGAAACAAATACATCTACAAGGAAACAAGAAACACATAAAAGTAATTGTGCACTGTGCACTGTCCTCCTCCTATTGTTCATCGATTTGCTTAAGCAGGCCCAGTAATAACATCTCCAGTCTGAGACTTGTTGTTACTGTGTTTGGCATATTGAATACGTCACGGGTAGCTTGCCAGGCTTTGCCGTGTGGGCGAGATACTCTCGGTAGCTTGCTGGGATCTCCAAAAGGGGCGGAAGAATCGAACCCAGCTCAGCCAGGCCAGCTGAGTGCAAGGCAAACGCCCTACCACTGTGCTATTGCTCCAGCCCATAAAAGTAATTAGTCTAGGTATACATCCTTTTATGTAAGGGAGTGATCTACAGTATGGAGGAAGAAGGTACTTGGAAGAACCTTCAGTCTATACCTGTAAACAAACACACAAATAAAAAGCCCATCTTCATTACTCATCTGTTGAGAATCAAAAACTAATGTTAGAATTTGGTGTTAACATCTTAGAAAAGTTACATTTAGGAATAGTAAGTTAAAGTTATCCCATCATTTTTGGCATAGGAGACTTGAGGGGTACCCAGTGATGCTAATGGGATACTCCATTTTCTGTGATGAGAGATCTCACCTGACAGTGCTCATGGGCTGGGACTCCCAGTAATGGAATCTGGGCCTCCCGCATGCAAAGCAATCATTCACTCCATTGAGCTATCTTTCCAGCCCCTTTATTTACAATATACTGATAAAAAGAGGTGATGACTAAATACGATATTTTAAAAAATATGTTAAAAATAGGATATTCCATAAGTGGACCTTTTTATAAACAATTTTAAGTATAATATATAAATAACATATATTAAATAACAGGTAAATTTAAAAAAGGGATATCCAGATAATGAAAAGAGAAAAACATTATGTATGTGAAAGTTAACTTTATTGGGGCTGGAGCGATAGCGCACTGGGTAGGGTGTTTGCCTTTTATGCTGTCAATCCAGGTTTGATCTCCGGCATCACATATGGTTCCTTGAGCACTGCAGGAGTAATTCCTCAGTGCAGATCCAGAAGTAACTCCTGAGCACTGTCTGGGGTGATCCTTCCCCAATAGAAAATAAAACAAAAAAAATTTAAATGAAAGAAAATTACTTTATGGGACTGGAGCAATAGCACAGTGAGTATGGTGTTTGCCTTGCACGTGGCCAACCCAGCTTCAATTCCCAGCATCCCATATGGTCCCCCGAGCACTGCCAGGAGAGATTTATGAGTGCATGAACCAGGAGTAACTCCTGTGTATCTCTGGGTGTGACCCGAAAAAGCAAAAAAAAAAAAAAAAAAAGAAAAAAGAAAAAAAAGAAAGAAAATATGGAAAAAAAAGAAAATTACTTTATTTTGGTCAATCTGGAATACAAAACTAAACAACAGTGTGCACTTTTTCAGCATAAAACAGAGTAATTCAAATTATTTTATTTATTGTTTCACACTGCTAAGATTTTTGTGATAAATAGATACTTTTAAAACATTCTCATATTGACAGTAAAAGAAAATTTAGAATAATAAAAAATTGCAGAAATGTCTTATAACCTCTTATGTCATAGTATTAACATTTCTGGGAATTTACTCAATGGGTATATTTTAATAGACAAGAACGTGTAATATATTAAGTAGCACTGTAGCACTGTCGCACTGTCCTCCCAGTGTTCATCAATTTGCTTGAGTGGGCACCAGCAACGTCTCCGTTGTGAGACTTGTTGTTACAGATTTTGGCATATGGAATATGCCACGGGGAATTTGCCAGGCTCTGCCTTGCGGGTGAGATAGTCTTGTAGCTTGCCGGTTTCTCCGAGAGGGAAGGAGGAACCGAACTCAGGTCCGCCGCATGCAAGACAAATGCCCTGCCCACTGTGCTATCGCTCCAACCCAATGTATTAAGTATGGTGGGAAAATACAGAAATGAATGTAAATGCTAGGCAATAAAAATATCTCCTACATAAAATTTATAGGTATAACTGAACTAATTTAAAATTTAAAAAATATAATTGTTTATGAGATCACAAACTCAGAACAGAGATTATATTCTTCTAATAGATAATGAATAAATACAATAAGGAATTTAGAGAGTATTCATCATGATAAGGTAGTACTACTGTGACAAATTTTTCTTTTTTTTAATTTAATGATCATAACACTGTCTGTCACTGTCTTCCTGTTGTTCATCGGTTTGCTCGAGCAGGCCCAGTAACGTGCCCATTGTGAGACGTGTTACTGTGTTTGTCGTATGGAATATGTCACGGGTAGCTTGCCAGGCTTCGCCATGTGGGCGAGATGCTCTCGGTAGCTTGCCAGGGTCTCTGAGAGAGGCGGAGGAATCAAACCCGGGTCAGCCAGGCCAGTGCATGCAAGACAAACGCCCTACCGCTGTGCTAACTAGGGCCGGAAAAAAAGTTCTGTTTAACAATGAGCACTATGCTTGCTTATGATCAAATGAAAGATCAGAGTTATTTCTGCAGGATTAAAAAAGAGACCATGGGCTGGAGTGATAGCACAGCAGGGAGGGCGTTTGCCTTGCATAAGGCCAACCCAGGTTCGATCCCCAGCATCTCTGGTCCCAGAGGAACACCAGGAGCATGTTTAAGAGAAAGCATAAATTGTCACATTTAGAGTGTAAGAAGTAATAAAACTTAATATAAATTTACCATGTGCATATTACTTCCATCTATCTAAATATAAATGATTTTGATTTTATTTCTCAGTGATTTGGGGATCATGAAAGTATATTTTTGGAAGGAAAGTTGCTCTCAAATAGTGCCCGGGGAGCTCTCTCAGAAATTCCTGGGTAACCAGGCTAGAAATTCAAGGCTCAGTCAGAGGATGAGCTGCTGCTAGGACCATAATATGCTAGGAATTTCCTGGGCCACCTTAGTTTTCAGGGAACTCTGGGGCTGTAGTTTGCAGTGTACCCAGGCCCAAGGGGGGATGGAACCAGTGTCAGTTGCATGCAAGGAAAACATTGTACATCTTGTACCACCTCTTCAGCATCTTAAGAAAGTCTTCAGATTTATTACATTTTGTGAATAAAAATGTCCCTAACTGAAACCAGAGAGATAGTACAGAGGGTGGGTCATATCAACCCAGGTTCAATCTCCAGCATCCCATATGGTTTTCTGAGCACCACCAGGAGTAATTTCTGAGTGCAGAGTAAGACTAAGCCCTGAGCATCTGTAGGTATGGTCCAAAAGACAAATAAACAAACAAAAACGTCTCTTAGTTTTTAAGGAAAGGGGTAATAAAGAGGTAGGACCTTCAATAAAAGGAGCTGAGAGATAAACTCATCAACAAGAAGTACACTAGCAGGAGAAACTACAACAGTTGCATGTGACCTGCTCAGGTTTGATCCCCAGTACCACATATGCTCCAGTGAACTCCACCAGGAGTGATCCCTAAGCACAAAGCCAGGAGTAAACTCTGAGCACAGCTGGGTGTGATCCAAAGGGAAACAAAATAAACAGATAAAGAAAAAAAGAAAAAAACAAGAGAAATCCACAGCACAGCTCTTCCAAGAGAAAAATAAAGTCCTCTTTCTTCTATTTCACTTACCGGTTCAGAGTATGAAAATCCTAAACCTGCTGAAGCTGATTTTATTAGTTCAGACTCCAATTTATGGCGCTTCACAAACACTGCCAAATCCTAGGGGGAAAAAATAAAATTTATATTTAAATAACAGTTAAGAGATACGATGCGTGTTCAAAGGGAAATATTTTTCATTAGTGACAAATGAACTAAAAATTATTCAGAGTTGCAAAATATGTGTCTGTCTCAACAGATTTTCACAAGCTACTATGTATGAGAAAAATATGCTTCTAGCATTAACAAACTCAAAAGGCTGCATTCTAGGGTCTTTACTAAATTGTTAGATATTTTAAAGTACATTTTTTTTTAACCAGCTCTCCTAAGAACATCTAGCATGACAGAGATTTCTCGGGAAGCTATCTCTACCTCTCTGGCCTCAATTGATGCTGGGTCCATGCTGTCATCCAAAAGACTTTCATAGTAATCCACATTGTCGAGGACATCCTCATCATCTGGGTGGAGCAGAAGATAAGCCTTGGCACATTCCAAGGCTTTCACATATTCACCAACTGAAAAACCAAGGAGTTACTGCATTAGAGTCAGTTTAGGTTTGCCTACAGATTTTTATTTGTTTGCTTTTTTGGGGTCCACACCCGGCAGTGCGCAGGGTTTATCTTGGCTCAGTGCTAAGGGATAACTCCTGGTGGGGGCTGGGGAGCGTATGGAGTGCCAGGGACTGAACCGGGGTCATCAGCTTGCAAGGCAAACACCCTATTTGCTCTACTCTCTCCAGTCCCTGGCTGCAGACTTTTAAAGAGCTTTTCAACATGTCTCCTCAAAATAAGAGGTTAGCAGACTGGTTAAAGAAACTTTGGTACATCTACACAATGGAGTACTATGTAGCTCTTAGAAAAGATGAAGTCATGAAATTTACATACAAGTGGTACAATATGGAAAGTATCATGCTAAGTGAAATGAGTCAGAAAGAGAGGGATAGACATAGAAAGATTGCATTCATCTGGGGGATATAAAGTAACAAAGTATGAGATTAATACCCAAGAATAGCTGAGATCAGCACCAGGAGGATTACTCCATAACTTAGAGGCCAGCCGGGTATCCTAGAGGAAAGGGCAGTTCAGATAGAGAAGGGAGCACCAAATAAAGGATGTTTGGAGGATCCTCCCAGGAGGGGAGATGCATGTTGAAAGTAGACTATGGACTGAACATGTTTGCCACTCAATGTCTCTTTTGCAGACCACAACACCCAAAAGGAGAGAGAGAACACAGGGGATTGCCCTGCCACAGAGACAGGGGGGATGGGGGGATGGGGGTGGGAGGGATATTATCCATGGTGGTGGAAAATGGGCACTGGTGGAGGGATGGGTATCTGATCATTGTATAATTGAAACCAAAGCACAAAAAATTGTAAATCTACAACTTTAAAAAAAATAAAATAAAATAAAGGGGAAAAAAAAACCAAGGGGAAAAAAAAAATAAGAGGTTAGCATTAAATATCAGTAAGTGGGAAGGTTAAAGGGGGGAGGTGGGCAGAGTAAGCAGAAATATGCTGCAGACAAAAGGAAAGACACATTTTCCATATTTCAATGACGCTCCCTTTGTTTCGCTTTAGTGCTATTTTGCGTAATTTTCAAAAGTTTCCACCTGAAGATGCTTATCGACCACTTGTATTTTTTTAAAAGAGATAAACAGAATTTTCAGAGTGAATTCCACTTTGTATTTAATTGGACAATATGATAAGTAAGATTTGTATGTTTTTTAACAGAGATAAACAGAATTTTCAGAGTAAATTCCACTTTGTATTGAATTGGACAATATGATAAGTAAGATTTTTAAGCAATTCAAATTCAATCATTGTTTTAAAACATAAATAAAGACACTCAAACTCATTTTTCTTTCACAGTATGATAAATAAAAAATTTTAGAATATTGATATCAATTTTAAACTAAAACAGTAGAGATTATCTCAGTCTGATTATCTAGTCTGTAGTTGAGCATGAAAAATTCCACAAGGAGAAACCTTAGTGACATCTATAGAAATAAATTATTTGTAGCAATCGTGTTCCTAGAAATACACCCTTAGAATTTATTTGCAGATGCAAGATGGCAAGCATAAACTGTCAGTCATTTGAAAGCTGATTATAACAGGGAAAGCTTAATAAACAACTCCATTTTACCTCGATAGTAAGAGAACTGTAGGTAGTCATAATGCAGGGGAAGATAGTTCTCAATTGGTGAGAGGCGACCAGGGCGAGTGGCAAGTTCCCTCACACATTCATGCTGACAAACCAGCACCTGCAGGTAATGATCTGAAAGACAACAGTTGCCACTTCAGTCTGGTTAACGTTCAGATTTGAAAGTCAGAGCTATAGTTAATACAAGGCTCTGAAAACAAAGTCATTATTACCCTCATCATAGCCAGAAACCCTACACACAGAAACCCTTGAAGCTTCCTACTCTAGTCTATAATCACTGGAGTGATGACTAGTCACTTCTAAAACTCTGTCCTCATGGGTCCAATTCTGCTCTCTCTACTTTCTTTTCCTCCTTTTTTCTTGTATCTTCTGAAAGTAATAGAGTTACCTCACTATAACCACCAACAGCTAAACAGATGACTTTTCCATTTAATACCTTCAGGGGCTTTGTTTAGGTCCTTTAGAAGGACCTAAGTGTTCTTTTTGGGGCTGGAGCGATAGCACAGCAGTGGGGCATTTGCCTTGCATATCAGTCAACCTGGTGGAGTCGGGTTCGATTCCTCTGCCCCTGTCGGAGAGCCCGGCAAGATACCGAGAGTATCTACCGAGAGTATCTCACCCGCACAGCAAAGCCTGGCAAGCTACCCTTGACGTATTCAATATGCCAAACACAGTAACAACAAATCTCACGATGGAGACGTTACTTGGCCCGCTCTAGCAAAATCGATGAATAATGGGAGAACTGTGACCGTGAAGTGTTCTTTTGGAGTGCAATTTTATAAAATGGTGAGGTGAAGAACCAATAGAAAAAAAGAAATTCCCATGTACATGTGGAGTATGCCTGAAAAGCAGTGAAACAAAAATGATCTTTTCCATGATAACACTTTGAATTTTTATTTCAGGGGTTTTGGCATCACACCTGGAAGTGTTCAGGGCTTACTTCTTTCCTTGTGCTCAGGGATTATTCCTAGTGTTGCTCGGAAGACCATAGGTGGCTTAAAGGAATGTATCAGGGTTGGCCGCATACACCTATGCCTTGTACTACCATTCTGGCTTCTGTAACAATTTTTTAAAGCAACTTTTCCTAAGATAGCAAAAATAATGTATTTTTTTTACTTATGTTCATCAGGGACATATTCTACTTACTAGCAAATGAGTCTATAACCCAGACACTGAAAAGATTAATATGGTAGGGACTGGGAAGCAGGGAGCAGGATGAAAGGTAAAGAACCATTTAGATTTGTCACTTTGTCTTTGTTCCCCTCTTCACTGCCCATGTTTATTCTATGTTTGCCAACAGACAAGGATGCTGAAGTGTAGAGTTTGTCCAGCTTCATTTATCTCTAGACTCTCTCTCATCAAAGAGTGAACTCAAAAAACCACAAGTGGTTAATGTCCTGGTCAATGGCAGAAAAAGTAGGACAGCAAGTACGGCATTAGCTACTACTGATGACCCCATTTCTATTCCTGGCACTACACAGAACCACCAAGAGTGATTCCCTCACTACAGAGCCAGGAGTTAATCCTGAATACTGCTGGGCATGATGCCACCTGCCCCCAAAGAAAGAAAGAAAGAAAGAAAGAAAGAAAGAAAGAAAGAAAGAAAGAAAGAAAGAAAGAAGAAAGAAAATCCTCCTACATTCCAACTCAGCTTTCATTTTTACAATGAAGATGAAGTTGCTGTAGTAATTTCTAGAAAAAATAATGGTTCATTCATGCTCACACAGAGTGGAGTCCCCTGAGAATGATGACAGAACTATCTAACTTCATAACCTTATAGTTTAATTGACCTCAATTGTTGTCTTTTCCCCAAAGATTCTGTTAAGTGTACTTTGACTTATATATCATTAAGCCTTGTGGAAAGACTGTAAACCACACAAAGAGAAAACTGCATTTTTGGTCTATAAGAAAGTGCAGCACTTTATTTTATAACTGAATTTAATACAATGTTGCATTGCTAGTAGAATCCCTGCAGTTTGTTAGTTTGCAAATGGAGTTTGGGGAATATGAGGAAAGAATGAGTTCTAGATCTGTCATTTGATAATGTGCTAGATATAAAGAGTTGCTTGTTTTATTTCTTAGAAAGTAACAACAAACAATCTTCAGCTGTGTTCTCCTAGTTAGGTGAGTACTGGCATGTCTCTTTACCTTTTGCTGCAAACTCTAAATTCCAAATGTCAAGTGAGAGAGAAAAATCAGATAAACACTTGCTAGATACCCCAAATCTGAATAAGAATACTTTCTAAAGATAATACAAATAAAATAGTGTGGCAGAATAATGCTCACTAGACCTTCAACCATAACTACTAAGAAATAAGTGAATATAGGAGTCATTTTTAGTCTTTTATTTATAAAGTTCAACTAATTTTGATTTATAAACATTCTACATTTTAAAATTCAGTTTGACTCCTACTTTGTGATGGTCTAAAAGCACACAATAAGGCCAGGAGGGTAATATGGGCATAGGGGACAATGGCTTGTGTTCTATCTCTAGCATCACATCGCCTCCTGAATATATCTAGGCACAGCCCTGAAGGTTCCCCAAGCATCACCAAGTATGATAATGAGATAATGAGATAATGAGATCTAGGTATCCCAAGATCTTGTGGAACCTGCCTGGTGGCCCCCCACATCACAGAGACAAAGCATTGAACTGCAAATTACTTAGCTGAGTATTATCAAGAATTGATCAGCACCTGGCCCAGACAAGGTCATACCTGAACACCTGAAGAACCTGCCATCAGTACTCATCAATACACAGGCTCAGCAATTCACACACTACCTATCTGAATGCAAGGTTCTGTCCCAGTGGAAAACCAGCAGGACTCTACTACTGTAGAAGAAGGGAGAACATCCACAACATTGGCAACTATCACCTGATCTGACTGTTGTCTGTCGTCTACAAGCTGTTCACTCAAGCCATCCTGAATAGGATTGGCAGAACACTAGATGAAGAACAACCATGCGAGCAAGCCAGTTTCTGAAAAAAAATTCAGCACAGTTGACCATATCCACACATAACCAAGCTCATTGAGGTTTCTCGGGAGTTCAAGATGCTGCTCTGTCTAACGTTCATTGATTTAAAGAAGGCCTTTGATTCTGCTGAAACTGAAGAGGTCTTCGAAGCCCTAGCCAAACAGGGCGTTCAAACTCAACACATCAGGATCCTCTGTGAGCTGTATTGCAGATTCACTATCAGGATCTCACCATTCTACAGGGAGGTGATCATTGACATCAAGAGGGTTTGGCAGGGTGATGCAATTTCACCAAAACTCTTCAGTGCCACCCTTGAGAATGTCATGCGACGACTGTAATGGGAAGGAATGGAAGTTAAGATAGATTGCGGCAACTACACCACCTCCGCTTCGCTGATGACATTGTTCTAATAACACCAAACATCAGCCAAGTGGCACAAATGCTGGCCGACTTCAACCATGAGTGTGGAAAGATGGCACTACACTGAATCTCACGAAGACAATGTCTATGAGAAATTGTCTCATTTCTGATGAACATCTCTGAATCCGGCAGTTATGTGTACCTAGGTCAAGAAGTTAACATGACGAATGACCTGGCACCTGAGTTGTGCAGGAGGAAGAGAGCAGCTTGGAATGACTTCAAGAGAAGCAAAGAAATAGCTAAGAGGACAAAGAACCTCCAGATCCGGGCACATATCTTTGATTCCACTCTTCTTCCTGCATTAAGATATGCCTCAAAGACCTTGGCCCTACGAAAAGAGGCTGAGAATTCTATTCAGGTCTCCCAAACAGGAATCGAAAGAGCTATGCTTGGAGTATCATACTTCACTCAAATGAGAAAAAAAAATCCGGACTTCCTACCTCCATCTATGGTAAAGAATCAGGGACGCTGTCTTATTTGCCAAGGCATCGAAAATCAGGTGGGCTGGATGTGTAATGAGATTTGGAGAAGACCCCTGGACTAGAGCCATTACCGACTGGATTCCATGGGACGTCAAAAGATCGCATGGCCGCTCACCTATGAGATGGTCAGTCTTCTTTGTCAAGACCCTGAACGATCGGTTTGAGGCTGCCCGTGTTCCTGGAATGAGTAGACACCATTGGGCTACACTAGCTCACGACAGGGATGAATGGAGACGTTACTGGAGCCCGTTCGAGCAAATCAATGAGTAATGGAATGTCAAGTGATCAAGTGATATATCTGTCTTTTGTCAAGCCAAGAAGATATTTTCCTTTTCATACAAGTATCTGTCTTCATATGTTTCCAACAGCTTTTATTTTTTATACTTAAGCTGTTAATATAAGCAGTGTATTTTTCTGTGTATTTTTCCATATGTAGCAGAGAAGCTAGTATCATAGATGTAAACTATTCAAATTTTTCAATTAATATATCTTCACATTATGTACTATTTTAAGATTTCACATTGTAATATATCAAATTTTCATACCAAAAAATGGGAAATAGAACTTAGCAGTAAATTCTGAAAAAAAAAGAGGCATGCATGTGAATAATGAGCACATGAAAAAATAATCGATGCTGTTGATTATCAGGAAAATACCACTCAATGAGATAACCTCACCACTGGAAAAATAGCTTATATCAACAATGCCAGAAACAACAAGTGCTGATGGAAATAAAGGACCTTCATTCCTATAAGTGGGAATGCAAACTGACTCCTAGTGCTATTTATAGTAAGCAAGATCTAGAAGTGACCAAGATAGGTAAAAGGAAAAAGAAGTTGTTTCATACACACACAAACACACACAAACACACACAATGAAATACAACTCAGCTATAAGAAAGGACAGTCTTGCTGGTATTACAAGATGGATTTGATTAGAGAGTATCATGCTAAGTTAAATATCCCAAAGGAATGGGAGTATGGTGCCACCAGCAGGTCAACTATACCTATGGGGCGAGTGCATCAGCTGCCTGATAGTACTCTCAGGCTTCCTGATACCCCAAAATTGCCACCAGATGCCAACAACTTGAGGCCAAGTTTACCAAAAAATTAAATTTCCAAAAGCTAGGTATATGGGAGTCACACCTACAAACCACCTCTGGCTCAGCTATACAAGCTCATTCATTGGTCTTTTTTTCAGAGACCCATAGATAAATCTCAATGAGGTCAAAAGCTGCAGATAAGCTAGGACCCACACATGGGAAGAACAGACTGGGGTAAATCAGAGTGGGGTGGGTTGGCCTTCTGGCCCTCCCAAGCAGAGCCCCAAACATCAGCTTGCTTCCATAATCCAAAATCGCCACCATATCCCCGGTCTGACTCACCTGAACCAGGACAGATCTCACAAAGATATAATCTGCTGAAAATTCAGGTATGTGGGTTTTGTGACTGAAATCTACAGGCTTTCTTGGGGTCGGGATGTGCTACCTCGCCCTACCTCCCTGTACTTCCAGAAGCCTCAGAAGTCACATCCACGCCTCAAAGTGGCCACCTAATTGAAAAGCTACTCTATCCTTACTATCCCGATAAAAATATTGAATGCTCAGAACAAACACCATGATCTCTTAGCACCTGTATTGCAAACCATAATGCACAAAAGGAAAAGGAAAGAGAGAGCTAGAAGAAAAGTGCCTCCCATAAAGGGAGGCTGGGGAAGGGAGAGTGTTGGGGGATGTTGGTCAGGAAACAGGAAACATTGGTGGTGGGAGATATACACTGGTGGAGGGAAGAGTTCTTGATCATTTTATGACTGAAACCCAATTATGAACAGCTATGTAATGGTCTATCTCATGGATATTTAATCAAAATTTTTTATTACAAAATTAATGTGGAGTTTATGTCAAATTCAGTCAACTTTAATCAATGTTTGAATAAATAGCAGTATTCCTACATTAAATATATATATATGTATATATATATTCTAAAGGAAGAAAGACAAACACTAAATTATCTCACTCATTTGTAGTACATTAAAGAATGAAGCAATGAAAACAGACCATGTCCAGTGAAAAAGTCTTAGACACCAACCAGAGAACCTAAAATGAGAACCTAAGGTTACCTAATATTAGGGGCGTGGGAGGAAAAGATGAAGGGAACTATGTTGAGATATATTGGCACTACAGTGATAGCAACGTGTGGTAATACTATGTTCATAAAACATATAAGTCTTTATACTCTTATAATCAATGTTACCTCATTCAACAAACAAATGTATAAAATAAAATGAAAAACTATAATGATAACTAATACAACCTAATTTAAATGCTCAAAAGTAAAAATGAATACTCTTTTATATCATACAAATATACAAGAACATTCCCTACTCAATGTTCATAATAATTAAGAATTGCAACTTTCTTTTGTTTTTTGTTTTGGGGCCATACCCAGATGTGCTCAGGGTGTATTCCTGGCTCTGCACACAGGGATTTGTAGGAGGGTTTGGGACTATATGGAGTGCCAGCGAGCTAACCTGGGTCAGCTGGGTACAAGGAAAGCACCCTACTTGCTGTACCATCTCTTTAGCCCTGAACTTAAATTTCCTAATATCAACCCAGAAAGCAACCAAATAAATTATTCTAATACTCTGAATATGATGCAGCCATTAAACACACAAAAAATGAAATTATGGATACTTACAAGAGATGAAGTCCACAATATAGTGTTAAGCATAGGATAAAAGAGAAACAAATATACTATAAAACAATATTTGAAGTATTATCTGCATTTTATAAACATTAAATGATCAGACAAAGAAATCAGTATTTAAATTTGCACCTGGAAAATGCTTGGGGGTCAACATCAAAACAAACTTGGTGAATTTAGCTGCAGGATATCATATCGAATAGATAAATGCTCATAGATTTTTTTCACATCTTACAATGTACAAGTATATGTTGTTGGGATATTTGTATATCTTATATAAAGTATTTCTATAAATAGATAATAAATAAAGCTAAAAATAAGCTTACCTGCAATGGCTTCATAGAGACCAGCTTTATACCCTAAGTATTCATATTCTTCAAATCTCTGAGGCCCTTCACACAGGACTCGACATTCGATCTCTTCATTAAAATATTCTCTTAATGCTTTTTCAAAATGCTTGATAGCCAATTCAAAGTCATCATCCTCATAATGTTTCACTCCTGCATTGTAACTCTCCTGCATAAAAAGATTAAAATAATAAAAAATAAAAAAAATGTTTCCCCAAAGAGTACCCAGGGATTTGGGAGCTGCTGGTAGAGTAGGGAAGGTTTTGCCTTGCATACAGTCAGCCCTGTTTGATCTCCTGCATCCAATATCGTCTCCCAAGCCTGCCAGGAGTTAGCCCTGAGTGCAGATCCAGGAGTGAACTTTGAGCACTATTGGGTGTGACCTGAACACAAAACAAAAAAGTACTCTAGAGGTCATTGAATATCAGCACAGAAGTTGACTTAGGATGCTTGAGGTAGGTGGTTATGGATTTTTGTGTTATAGAGGGATAAAAAAGGGTGCACTGAGGAGAAAAATAAATTAAAATTTCCTTGCTTAGCCAAATTTCAAATAAAAGGAATTACAAATCAAATCAATTGTTGGGGCAGTAATCTCAATTTTTTTTCCTGAGTACATTTAAGATTACTTGGTAACTCCTTTGAATACTAGCTATGAGATAAGGAGACAAATTTAAGGTGGGTGAAAATGACATGCACATCCATAGCTGGTCTAATTTTCTTTTTTAAATGACTTTATCTTTGGAAAGCCAGGTATGAACTGGCAGTGACGGGGCAACTGCAGTCTCATGGGAAGGGGGGGGGGTGGTACGGGCTCGTCCTTCATGCCCTACCGAGGTCATGAGTTGCCCCCCATGAGCAGCTCTCTGGTACGACCATAACACCAGACGCACAGAAACCAATCTTGTAATTATCTGGCTCTTTGCAGAAATCCCTCCAGACTTACCTAGTAAAATATCAGAAATCCAAAATCACATGGCCACGATAGTGGCCGTGCAACATAACATGGTTCTCATAACCAGCTATAGAAAACAAATTATGTCACAATGCCTTTTCAGCAATTCTTATTGTTGGGGGAAAATTCTAAACAATAATGGTGCATCTTTTATCGAAATAATGAATGTAATCAAAGTAGTGAGAGAGTTAAGTAGAAATCATCTGCCTCACAGGCAATCGGAGGGGTGGGAGGGAGGTATACTGGTGGTGAAAAATAAGTGCTGGTGAAGGAAAAGGTGTTTGATCATTTTATGACAGAGACTTAATCTTGAAAGCTTTGTACCTTTTCCCACAGTGATTCAATAAATAAATATAAGAAAAAAAGAATAAATGGCTTTATCTAACTACCATGCCTGTCTCTTATGCTTTACATAATCATCTTGGCAATGACATGTTGAGAATAGTGATATCACTGTTTGAAAATGATACTCTTCCAACTCTTTCAGTCTCCTGCCCTCACACCTGGCTGTCCTCACCGGGCTCCCTTGGAGGGGGGTGGGTTGAGTTTCCCTCCCCGCCTCAAGCAGAGCTCCGGCAGCCGAGGACCTCCAGAACCAGTCACAACCATGCTGAAACCACTCTCCACATGCATGAAAGTACTGGCAGAGGAACAAAGGCATGCAGGTCCTGGGGCTGAGATCTCCAAGCCTGCTCGGATCAGGGCTGAGCATCCTCCACCCAGATCCTCCATCTTCCAGTAGGCCGGGTTCACACCCACCAACTGGCCTCCTGGCGCAGTGTAATCCCATCAACGGCCAAGACCCAGAGACTATAAAACCCAGCTCCCGGAAGCGTCTTATTATCTCATTCTTACTTTGGACAACCTGGCAGGCTACTGAATGTAACCTGCCCACGTGGCAGAGTCTGGCAAACTCCCTGTGGCGTACCCAATATGCCAAATACCAGTAACAATGATGGGTCTCATTCTCCTAACCCTGAAAGAGCCTTGAATATGGCACTTTTTAAAATCTCAGGGCTAGGACGAAGGAGACGTTACTGGTGCCTGCTTGAGACAATCGATGAACAACAGGATGATTATGATCGTGATCATGACTCTTCCAACAGACTGTGATTTCAATTAATATTTATTTAGACGTACAATCAAGTGACTTAGATTATACAGAATTTAGAACATAAAACTAGAGCTGAGAAACCACAGTGTGACCTTGGACAATTCACACTGACTTCAATGCTCATGTGTACAATTTCAATGCAGAAGGGGAAGAATGGAACTCAGAGAGGGACACAGTTAATTAAGATATTCCTGTTTTTACTGATGTACCTTGATGATCTAGGTTATTTTTTCATTTTCTTTTTTTTCTTACACCGATAGCCATGGCATTTCACTGGATAATTTAGAAAGTATAAAAATGTTACCATATTGGAATGAGGAATTTGTTCAAGCTTCCCATTCAATAGGAATCTTCTTTGAGTCAAAGGGTATTAAGGAGCAGGAGTTAGCTCTAGTGATTAGGGAAGGGATTTCTAGAACTCACCTGGTGTGGTTTGGCTTCTCGATCTACCAGCTGGGATGCTTCAACACCTGCTATTGTTCTATAATTCTCTATGTCTTGCTGCATTTCCATGTGCTCAGGGTTGGCCATGAAAAATGTATGAGCTGCTTCCATAGCCTTTTCCAGTTGGTTAAGCTGTGAAGAGAGAGAAGGGAAAAGGAACCAGAATGAAGACATATATTTCTAAGACTCAGTCTTAGCCGAGGTCTAACAGTTTGAAAGTGGTAAGGCCAGGTACCAGTTAGTATTCCCTATGCTCTATCTCTGTACTAAAGAACGAGAATATTAGATAGCATTCTTAAGATAATATGTGGTTGTTTGGGCTTTTGGTGAAAATAGATTAACATGCTGTGTTTCAGTTCATTCCCATTTTCTTCTTTACAAGGCCATCTGTGTATTCTAGGACAATGCATCTACATGCTTATTTGTTTGATGATTGATTTTAAAAACAAAACAAAGCAAAAACTCGCCAACCTTGAACTTATTATTTTAACATTTTTCATTTATTTTTCTTCTTTGTGATAATTTTTCTTCTGACTGGGGAAGAATAAATAAATTTATGACTTTTCCAAATGACAGTTTTGCATACCTCTCTGACAAATTTCTACTCAGGAATGAGCAACACAAGGTTAAAAGGAGTGAATTATTTCAATGATGAAGAGAAAATTAAATTTACTTCATTTAAAATGTGCCATATGCTTTGGGCATAAAGAATGTCTATAGAAAGATCCATTTATTCCATATCTGAAAGGTGACTATTCACATTGCTAGTCTTTTTTCTTTAGTGGTGAAATTCAAAGTAGGCTTGATCAACTTTGGAAAAAAAACAGATGAAAACGCTTCGCTATCAGACATGTCAATATAAAATCACAGAGTGGTGTAAAATTGTTGTAGCACTGTAGCACTGTCCTCCCGTTGTTCATTGATTGCTCGAGCGGGCTCAATAACATCTCCATTGTGAGACTTGTTGTTACTGTGTTTGGTGTATCAAATACGTCATGGGTAGCTTGCCAGGCTTTGCTGATGAGCGGGAGAGATACTCTCGATAGCTTGCCAGGCTCTCTGAGAGGGATGGAGGAATCAAACCTGGCACGGCCAGGCCGGCCACGCGCAAGGCAAACACCCTACCGCTGTGCTATCACATAATTAAGCAAATTTATTTTTGACAGTGTACCATGACATGAAAAGCAGTTTGTTTCCCAAGTTTCTGCCATTTGTTGAGGAGACATGCTTTGTTCCGTTTCATGCATATAAGTGCTGTTACTTAAACCATACCTACCTGATAATATTCATGTATTTTGGAGTTCTCTAATGATAGGGACCATCTAACTTACTTATCTTTTGTTTTCCATTACTTTATAATTAAATGATGCCTATGATATGACTAAGGAAAGGGGAAAACACTCTCTAACAAGTTAATACTTTATATATGCAACAAAAGGTATATTATATCCAATTGTACTTCATAAACTATAATGTACTCTAATGATACAAGCTTAATAACAACACTTAAGGGTGTGAGTCTCATGGAGAATTTGTAAAATTAATGCTACTAGTGTATGTGATTCTGTAATTCTTGAAAAATTATTAGCTGTTGTTGATAAACTGCTTCCTTTTCATAAATTTGACCACTTTGCTTTTGCTTAGTGCCTCCTCCATTTAAAATTTAGTATTAAGTATAATTCCATCTTCCTCAATAAGAAAAAAATTCCATGACTTAAGTTTTAACCATAAAACGTATCATGGACTGACTGTGGCTTTTAAATTATTATGAACTAGTTGAGAAAAATAAAATTGGTTGCCAGAGTCTGTAAAAAAAAACACTATTTTAACTGGACATATTTTTTTCTCTTTGTAGTCCATTCTGAAAATTAGATTCATCCATCCGAAGTGGTAGAAAAAAAAGTTAAATGAACACATGTGCTACATATACTAACGAATAATTTGATGGAGATTATTCTTACAAAATCTTGTAAGCTTCAGGTATGAAAGGATCTTATATATTATTCCACTGAAGCAAACAAAATTCTAACCATAGTTAAAAAATTTAAACTGGGGGCTGGAGCGATATCACAGCAGGTAGGGTGTTTGCCTTGCACGCGGCTGACCGGAGTTCGATTCCCAGCATCCCATATGGTCCCCCAAGCACCGCTAGGAGTAATTCCTAAGTACAGAGCCAGGAGTAATGCCTGTACATCACCTGGTATGACCCAAAAAGCAATATACATATATATGTATATATATATTTATACACACAGTTTAAAAAATTTTTATATATAACAAAATATAGAAGAGGATAATTCTAATGTGAGGGTAGCCATGGGTTAGAAAAACAAATGGCACAATAAAGAAAAACTAAAGGAAAAGGAATGATTTGGCCACAAGATAAAACCTAAATCTTAAGGGCAGCAAGGGTTTCACTGAGGAATGAGAAAAACTGTTGGAAAAAATACTCTCTAGAAGCCCTGGGTCATTTTATCTCAGGCTGTAAAGGGCTGCCAGCTGTACGTGGCAGTGTTGCTGCATGGAAAAGGCTTGGATGTTGACTAAATCAACACCTTGCTGACATTTAGAAGTTACTTTCTGTCCTTGGACCGATGAGTAAATGAGAATCTTCTGACACACAAATGATTTTCCAGCTGGTAAGAAGAGAGTATTCCAAAAGCACGTATTGACTCTTTAAAAATCCTCAGTAGCCACAAAAATCATTCCAGAAACTATGCTTCACACCATTGAAGAAGTTTATAACTTGGTTCCTGTGTTATCTTTCGAGCCCAACTTCCTCTTGTCTTCCATGATGTAAGCTTTCCCCAAAACAGTTCTGTGTAAGCCTTATAATTTAATATCTCCTGTTTCATTAAAACTTATCCAGCTCCTGTATTCAAGTCGATCACAAGTTATTCAGTTCACTCATTCACTTGTTCAGCAAATGTTTACTTGGCACTGAATCTGTCTAGAAAGTGTGATACTTGATGAGAATACCTACATGGCCAAGACAGACAAAAGCTGTTTTCTAATTAATTTACATTCCCACCTAAGGGGACAGATCTGAAGTAGCTATATTAGTAATAGATATAATTTCAGACTGCACTGAATGCTGTGATGAAATAAATGGAAAAATTGTACTGCATGGAATCAGGTATTAAACTCCATCCGCATGAAAATTTCATTAAAAATTAGAGAAAATCTCTCTGAAGGAGATTTTGTGTTGAGACTTAAATATTGAGGGATAGTCTGAGCAGAGCAGGAAGAAATGCATTCCTGATCTTAAAAAAAAAAGTCAAAAGGGAGGGCAGTGGTGTAAAAAGTGTTTTAAAAGTATTAAATGTTTTACAAGTAGAGCAGATCTGACGAGAGACTTGAGAATTTATTGAATCCAACACTTGTAATTACCCTAAGTGCAAGAGGAATTCATGAAAAAATTTTCAACATCTGTTGTGACCTTTATTCATTTTTATTAATTTGGGACCACCTGACAGTTCTTACTGACTACTCATGGCTCTGTGTGCAGGAATTATTCTTGGCAGTGCTTGGGGGACCATATGAGGTGCATAGGGTTGAACCAGGTTCAGCTGCACACAAGGCAAACCCCTTAAGCAATGTACTGGTATAATGACAATTCTGCCTACTATATAAATGGCTGAGCTTTGGTAGCAGGCAGCAATTCTATTGCAGCAATTCAGATATTTTATTTTGCAAAATAAAACAGGACCACACTAGTCAGTTCCTATAGAATAACACTGTTTTGTCCTTCCTGCATAGCCTCAGGTAGTTTTGGTTTATTAGGTTGCTCCGATCACAGTGCTCCCATCACACATTTCTCTGTGTTTATTTGTAACTTCTTTCTTTGTGCTCTGTTGACTTGAAAATATTGTTTTTCTCTTCTCCCTAAGTCCTTTGCATAGATTTTTCAGATCAATGTCCTTTTTGTATGGACATAAGAATACAGTATGCTTTTGTTATGTGATTCTCAGTGATATTTTCCTCCTGGCCATCTGTTCTCTCACCTAAGCCTCAGCGACCCTTTCTTCCTAGTGTCCCCCAAAACAGGGTCCCGACGAGGGACTGGATGGAACCAGGGCAAGCAGTAAGTTATGTGCTACCCTGGAACTGAGATGGGCCTGGCCAAAGCGCCATAATACTTAACTATAAGAGTGTGGTCATGGACAAATGCTGTCATGATCCAAAAAGTAATAACTAGATTTGTACCCTGCTAGAGTTAGGAAAGATTAATCTGGCCTGAACTCTGTAGTCTGAGTCTGTGACAAGATGTTCCCAGGAGAGTTACCCTATAAGCCTCAATGTATCTCTTACTGTGTCCATACAAAAATAACTAGTATTGAGATGTTGATAGAATTATTGGACTGAGGAAAGGAGAAAGCATCTTAGGAGGTATTTTGTCCTTGGGCAGTCAGGAAGGGCTTTGGGTAGTGTTCCTTTTAGGTGGTGTTCCTCTTGAACTTGATGGGTCCTCAGGAACAGCTTTCTTATGTTGATTTTGCTACCTGACTGGGTGCAGTGTCAGCCAAGAATGGGGGCGGGGGGACTTGGAGAGAAGAGGCTGGAGAGGAGAGAGCTCAGGGCAGCAAGATGCCCCAGGGAGAAGCTAGCAAGGGGGAAAGAGAGAGAAGAATGTAGAAGAATACCGGAGGAAGCACGTGGAGAGAGAGAGAGCCCAAGCTGCTAGATAGAGCACAGAGAGATGAGTGGGAGAGACAGGAGGAGAAGGGAATGAGGAGCAGTGTGAGACTAGAATGGGAGGCTCAGGGAGATTGGGGCAGGCTCCTGGGAAGAATGGAAAAAATGGCATCTGATCAATCAACTGGCTTGGCCCTCGTTTTGTCCACCGTTTGCCCCATGGCCCCGCCAGCCCTGGCTGGGGAAGTGGCCCGGGCCCCCCAGAACCTGAGTGACTAGGGGAAGAGCCATCGCCCCCACCCCCCGCAGCCCCTAAAGAGTTTATACAAGTTCCCCTACATTTTGTTTTCAAATTTTCTGCATTCCTTTCTCTACTTTTGTGGAAAAGTTCTACCTGTCATTGCTGCAGCAAAAATTCTTGTTTCAAAAGGTAAAAACACATAGCATAAAAGTAAACAGCTCTAATGCTTTCAAATATATTTTCAGAATATATACAT